ACAAGTCGGGAGGATGTCATCAGAAGGCTTCTGAAATTACAAGTCTGGGATCTTGAAGATTTTGTAAGTATGATTTTATATTTGATTAAAATTTGAAAGAGGGCATGAAGTTCTGAAATGGAATTTGCAAGGCAACTTTTAAGTGTAAGATTTGATTACTCTGGCCAACAAAAGTGGTGTTTTGGTGTTTAAAATTTTTATATTCTATGATCATAAGTTCAAATTTATTAAAAATGTTGAACTTATTATTATTTTTTTATGTATTATGACTAATAATTTCTCGATTTATAATGTTTTATTCAGTAGAATTAATGACTAACTCATTAGTATTAATGAGATTGCAGTAACTAAATTGAGTTAAACTTTAATAAATTTATTACATTTTTAAGTTAAAAAAGTATTCATTATAGTTAAATTTTTTTTAATTAAAATAATTATAACATGTTAAAAATTCGATTCAACTTTTTTTTTTTCATTAGAAAAAAAGATTGCCCTAGTATAGAGAATTAACATATTCTCTAATACTGTTTGATAGCATTTGTAATACTTCCGGCTTATTCGATAAATTTTCTAATGTGGAAATAGATTATGACATAATCAAAAAGAGAAATTTGATTTTGATTGTTATTTTGATAGGCGGGCATGTCGAGTGCAACCGAAACACTATGCGGACAAGCATATGGAGCCGGCCAATATCATATGATGGGAATTTACTTGCAAAGATCATGGATTGTTGATGGTGTCACAGGAAGTTTATTTATTCCTCTCTTCATTTTTGCAACACCAATTTTAAGATTCCTTGGTATGGAAGACGACATAGCAAGAGCAGCTGCGGATATCTCCCCATGGTTCATACCCTTTCTAGGCAGTTTGATGTTCTCCATGACTATCCAGATGTACTTACAAGCTCAAATGAAAAACTTGATCATAGGATGTGTATCTGCTTTTTCGTTTGCGCTCCAACTCTTCTTGTCCTGGATTTTTGTGACCAAATTTTCTTGGGGAGTTGCCGGTGCAATGAGTGCAATGAACATTGCTTCTTGGTCTTTGGTTCTTGGAGAGTTTATATATATATTCGGAGGTTGGTGTCCGGATACGTGGACCGGATTTAGTAAGGCTGCTTTCTCTGATATTTTCCCTATAATGAAGCTCTCAATTTCGTCTGGTATTATGCTTTGGTAATCACAGGTTTCTCAATTGCATATCTTATTCTTTACGTCAAATTTTTTGATCATTCAATTCTCTTGTTAATTAATTAATCAATAAGCAGCTTCAAAGTTTTCATGAATAAAATTAATGGGTAATCTAATTTATTTTGCATCAACAGTTTAGAGGTCTGGTACTTTGGGATTCTGGTCTTAATGGCAGGATATATGAAAAATGCATCAACTGCAATATCTGCTTTCTCCATTTGGTAAGGTTTATCCATCTATTCTTGTTTCCCACTTGTCTGTTATTCATATATACATATATAGACACACACATATCAGTATATAACTAAACAAAATTTGATGGTATTGCAGCCAAAATATCCTGGCATGGGAATTGAACATGTGTCTAGGGTTCCTAGGTGCAGCATGGTACCTTTTTCAATTCTAGTGTTCCTTTTTTTGGGTTTATGATCTTTATATTCTAATTGATTATTATGTCATGTAAACAATCCTTGTTGTCTTGCTTCAATTTCTCAGTGTGAGGGTAGCAAATGAACTGGGAAGAGGAGATGCTAAAGCTGCAAAATTTGCAATGAAGGTCAATCTCTGCACTTCGATATGTATCGGAGTTGTATTCTCTATTCTATGTTTAGTCTTTGGTCGTCGGCTTTCTTATCTTTTTATGAGTGATGAGCAAGTTGCAGCATCTGTATCGAATCTCTCTTTTCTGCTTTCTATCTCAATCCTACTTAATAGCGTTCAGCCGGTGCTATCAGGCAAGCAACTTAACACCGATATAGTGTCTTCTGCACTTCATTTTGTCACATTAAGTTTCCCAGAAAGATCTTTTCACACTCTAATATGAAATTTAGGCGTGGCGGTAGGTTCCGGGATGCAAAGTTTAGTTGCATTTGTGAACTTGGGATCCTATTATGGAATTGGCATACCTATTGGAGTTTTACTTGGATATGTTGCCCATCTTCGAGTTGAGGTAAGAAATAATTTGTATATCAATAATAATACAACTTTTTAATAAAGTACATACTCAGATCATACAGTCAGAATCGAATACAAAACCAAACCCACATATAGTAGTAGAAAGTGCCAAGTTGGTCCTTTAACACAAAAAATATTTAAAAAGTAGAACACCTCCTAATCTTTAAGTGACTGAAATTTTAGAGAAGGAAATTAAAAAGACAATGGTATTGGAGAAATTTGAATACAATTTAATTTCATGATTTGTTGTTTTTATTTTTCAGGGTCTGTGGATTGGAATGCTGTGTGGGGTTGCAATGCAAACACTTGCTCTTTCCTTTATTATATACAGAACCGATTGGGAATACCAGGTAAACAGAACAAATATTTGAATTGCTCACTTTAATATAAAAGTTAATATTAGAATATTTATCGACTGAAATTTTCGACCGACTAAAATGAATTTGTAGGTGAAGAAGGCATCGGAACGTTTGAATAAGTGGGTTCTGAAACCATCAAATGGGTCTGGTTATAGCTTCATGCATGCATGAAATTACATGTAAGAAGGATTTTTTTTTTTCTTTTTCTTTTTGTTTTCCAGAAAGGAATTTGATAATGTGGGTTTGAAGTCTTCAATTAATATGAAGAGTTGTGAAATGAAATTCTCAAAAAGAATTGCATTTACATTAATGGGCTGGCTAACTAGAGATAGGCTAGGCCGAGTCCCGTTACAACAGACGAGCTAGGCGTAGGTAACTTGGGCCAACTGGTTGAATTGGGCTTGGCCTGTGCAAATTGAGGCCTCGAGTCTGGGCCTTATGGAGACTGGGCCCTTTTCTCTAAAACCGATTCTCTCTTTTTTCTTTTTTCGGTTTTTATTGTTTCCAACAATTAGTTACAATGATTTTTGTTTTATCTTTATCAAGTAAAACTACATTGTTGTCTATCTTAATCATCGGTGTTTGATTGGACAATTAGAGTTGATCATTTCTATAGAGATCATACGAGTTTGAGCTCTACTTAGGACAATTTATGTTAAAACGAAAAAGGAATTATTTTTTCAACTCGAACTTGAATATGATTAGTTTTATCTGTGAAAAACTTTATATTTGGCAGCTATAAATATCATTTATTCGTTTATTTAATTTCTGTGAAATTCTCTTATTTCTGTAATTAAGCTTTTGAATTCTCAAACTTACAATCCATAACTTTACCAGGTAATTAACAATTAGGAATGTTAAACTTAGGCATTATTGATTTATTAGCATATCACTGGATGAAATTCAAGAGTCAAAAGTTCTTTAAATTTGATAAATTGATTTATTATTGGAAAAAAGTGGAAAAATTTTGCAAATTACACTCTTCGATGATGATACTAAGAGTGGAAGGATTGACGATTAGCAGTAGTAGCGCACCCGACCCTAGGGTTTTACTCCTATCGCAACAATGTTAATTTTCTTGTGTTTTTTTATTATTTAATCTCATGTTCAATTAAAATATTCGTTTTTTATTAACGAAAAAAATATTTATGATATTTTACATAACAACTTTTGTTGTTATGGTGGTAATAAAATTTTTAATGCTTCTTGTTGGTTTTGATCTTCTGTTAAAAATTTGAACGATTTAATGCAATTTTTTCCGTTTCTAAGAGATTTTTTATCACGTTATTTCATTTGTCTTCAATGATATTATGAATTATTATTAAATTTCTTTTACACAGAAAGTGAATCGATAACGCAATAGGGGTAAATGTCGGATGGTCTTTTTCGGTAAATAGTTTGAGTAGGTTGAAGAATAATCAAAATTAAATATGAGACGATGGTCACAAAATCGATAATCAATGATAAAAATGACAACTAATTTTGACATAATACCCTCTAGAAAAAAATATGCAAGGTGGTCATAAGGTTTACATATAATTTTTGTAAAGTTACGAAACTTAAATGTAAATAAAGTAATAAATTAAATGTGGAAGCGAAATAATAAAGATAGAGTTTACATTTCTTACACAATAATTTAGAATGTCCAATATGATTACGAGAATATCCATTCTAAAATAACAAACTAAAATAAAAAAAAAATAAATGAAAAGCAACTAACTAAGCAATTCTATTATGACATTCACTAGCTTTTGAAATGAGTTCAAGTGGTGAACTATTCATAATCCCTTTATTGATCGGGATCTGGATCCTATTTCTTTTGATCTGAAATAGTTAATGAATGGGTAAGTTATACTGACTCAGTAAGAATATCACACTAATAACAGATACAGAAAATTAAATATTGGTAAAAATCAGAAAAACAACTAATTGAGTTCTTAATTTAATGTAAATTCATTTACTATAAAGAAAATCATTTATTCCATATTGTGTAATAAGTTTTTCCCAACAATAACTTATGAAAACTCATATTTATGCATTATTATTTATCACATATAAGATGACAAAAAATGACTATTTTATATTTTTACCCACTTACTGGTACCCCTGGGGATCCATAGGGATGTTCTCCTACTTATGAACTAAATATCCAATTAAACAATTAACCAATCATCCTCATACCTTGTCCAATAATGGACATCAAACATTCCACCACTTCGATACCTCGTATGGTATGAAGGTGAACCATATATCCCAAACTTTACTGGTGAGAGACTTCTCAGCCCCATCCGACTGAAGTAACATTTAAGGTAGGGTTCTCTATGTACCGGGTCTGTCCGCCCTTTCCCGAGTACTCAGTAAGTCTTTCCCATAGAGATTTCCATCAGTATAATAATTAACTATGTAATAACCATATCTCATTTTATACTTACCACTTACTTAAACAACAATATAGTTTAACACAACCAAATAACCAATGAACAGAATACTGGCACGCTATGCAGGGGAAACAAATAACAAAATAATCAAAAAGACTCTAAAAACTATCAATTGAGTCACGCACAATATAATAGTAAACAAATATAGGTAATATAAAAAAATAAACAGGAAATCGAAACGACTGTGAACTAACCGATTTCGGCTTCACTAGTTACATGTAATTATTTTTAAGGTTCTCTAATTTTTCATAAAAATACATAATTATTAATTATTAAGTCTCAATTTGTCGTAACGAAGAAATGGTGAAAGATCGTTACCCGAATCAGTGTCCGAAATACTGAACATTCTACTGCGCCTATTAATGGTCCCCGGGTTTCCTGAATTATCCACCGAAATTCAAAATGCTTGTC